AGAAACAACTTCTAAATTTGAAAAGAAACCAGGTTTATATTCATGTCCTTATGTATGTGTTTATCTTAAACAGAGAAGGAGGAGCACTGCAACTTATTTTTAAAGGTAAATTGCCATTACTGGAGAATTTAAGGAGAAGCAATTCACCCTACCCTTTTGACTTTATAAAACCAGATCTTGGGAATCTGAAAGGGCCAGAGGCCACAAAAATAGCATCGTGGGAGCCATATGGCGCCCCAATGGCACACTTTACTTACCCTTGTCCTAAAGCAACAGCATGTGCCTCTGCAGTTCCCTAAGGCTGCTTTTTGTCAGCAAGCTCTGAAATTCCACTTCTTGCAAGGTGAAATGAGCAAGGACCTTTGATAGGCAGAGTGGCATGCCCTGCCAAATAGACAACTATAATTTCAGTTAATGCAAACCCCTTCAAATAATTCAATAATCTTTTGTTTTAGTTTGCTTCTTAATTAAGAGGGTAGGGGCATGTTCACACTATATCATCTCACTTTCACTACCGTGGCTGCATCCTATGGAGTCCTGGGATTTGCAGTTGAGAAAGGGGCATTTAGAATTCTTAGAGAGCTTTAATGCCTCACCATACTACAAAGCCTGGTTCCCTAGGATGTAGCCATGGTGATTAAAGTAGAATCATAGTGAAAAATTGTATACAGTTGCCCCTCTGTTCTCACAGACTTGGAGTCTGTGGTTTTGCATATTCACGGAGGGCTATGGGACTTGAATATTTGTGAATCTCAGTTTTCATGGGATGGTGGTGTCTGGAATGGATGTAGTGTGAAAGAGTTTGCAGCTTAGAGTTTTATCCATGTTTTAGCATGCTGTCAGCAGATAAGTGATGAGAGTAGCTTAGACTGATATGTAATGATGTAAATTTATGTTTGTTTACTTAAATATTTACATCCTACCCTATATCTTAAAATAATACATTGCATTGCACTATTCTATTTTTGGTTTATTGCTATTTTGAACTTTGCTTATTGTTTTTAATACTGTTATGGGCTGTAATTAATCTGTATTATTTCTTGTATGCCACTTTGAGAAAATAATTATATGTTATGTTAATAAACTCATATATTTTTTTAAAAAAGAAAAAAGAAACAGAAAAAAAAATAAAAGTAAAAAAAGAGGAAAACAATTAGAAAGAAATAGAGACCACATAACTCCCTTGCTGAAACAGCTTCACTGGCTACCGGTTCGTTTCTGGGCACAATTCAAAGTGTTGGTTATAACTTATAAAACCCTACATGGCTTAGGTCCAGATTATTTGAGAGACAGTATCTCCTTATACAAACTTGCTAGAGCCCTAGGATCTTCAGGGGAAGGTTTTCTCTTGGTCCCGCCACCATCACAGGCTCGCTGGTGAGGACATGAGAGAGAGCCTTCTTGGTGGCTGCTGCAGACTCAGAATGTATAATCATGGGGTGGCTTGGGTGTTTGTTATATAGGGTGGGTATCATGGTTTTAGTGTGGCTTTAATGTTTTAATTTTATATTGTTTTTAGATTAATTTTTTTAAACTGTTTTATTGTAATATGTTTTTAGAATTGTATTTGTGAGCTGCCTTGGGTCCCTTTTGGGGAGAAAGGTGGGATAGAAATCAGACAAACAAGCAAACAAACAAATATTGAAAGCAGCTTATACAAATTTGATTTTTTTTAAAAAACCCACCTATATTAATTTCATTGAAAAGCCGATACTGTTTCTGTTGGATGGGCAGCATTGGGAGGGTCAAAATTCTTTATGAACATCAAAGAGAGCCTGTATTTGAAATATGTATCACAATTTTGATTATAATATAAATACAGCATCATATTGAAAGTTGAAGAAGTTAGGCAGTTCCCCTTCTCCTCTTCCTCTTCCTCCTCCTCTGAGAGGTGCCTGAAGCAATCGACAAGTTTAATGTAGCAATTAAATTAGATTGGTTCCAGCAGCTGCACTCCTATTCTTTGGCAGCATGACCCTCAAAAATGATCTCTTCCACTCCTCCTCTTCCAGATTGCATAGTTATTGTGATTTCTGTACTACCAAACAGTTCCCTCACACCTAAAGCTGGAGCACAAAATGCCAGAAGAGTCAATGAGGCTTGTAACTTCCTTGGAAAGGATGCCAGAATAATATTAACCTTTTAGCCGAACACTGTCACTAATTGCAAAGCAATACACACATAATGATAACTGATGTTTCTTATAAATTACTTGCATTTGAGAAGAATGGAAATAAAACAAACTTGGGAGAAAT